ACCCATGTGAATCATAAAGCGCAGGGGAGCAGTAGTGGAGGTTCCAGATGTGTGTGACCAAACATTACTCATTACTAATATAACTTTCTAGAAAAAAAGTTACACTAGTAACACCAGCACACTTCATAAATGAAATATTTTAATGTACTATTTCAAGAGCCGACTGTGTCAGTCAGCACAGGCAGTAATGGAGGCTCGATCCTCCTTCCGCTAAGTGCTCCACAAGCGGGACGACAGTATTTTCAATTTTGGAGTGAGCCACTCCAAAAACATGGCTACTGTTGGGTGTTCTGTTGAACGGTTGCACCCAGTGGTCTCGTCTGAGAGACATGGGGATCAGTTCTCTGGGGAATGCAGTAACAAATGTGATTATTGTTTTCATTCTACAGTCTCGGATGAGTGGCAGATCAACACACCACAGATTAATCACATATCTTTCATGTCTCCATCGTCACCTCCGCTTTCTCAGCCGCTGGACCAGCAGGCCTTCTGTTGCTACGACCAGGTCAGTTCCAATGACCAGGTCAGTTCCAATGACCAGGTCAGTTCCAACGACCAGGTCAGTTCCAACGACCAGGTCAGTTCCCACTACTCAACCACAGCTCACAAACTAAAATTTCTGTTAAAGTCTTAAAACTTTTATTTGATTATTTAGACAGATGGAGAAGTTGTTGGGTTCAAGAGAGGAAGGAGACAAAAATACTGACAACAGATGCATTAGTTTGCACTATATAAAAGAAAAAGTAGATTTAGGCCTGTTATTCTTTAAAGTGAGCATTCGTATTACAGAATAATAAAGAGTCTTATCTCAACAAGCTCCACCGCTCTTCTCCCCTCAGGTTACTGTAGAATACTGAGACACTTGTAGCATTTGGGAATATTGATTGTAGACACAAGATTCCAAAATGTTGCAAAAGTGTCTAATTCTTCAACTTATCGATTTTGTAAACTACTTACATCATATAGGTTACTGTATTTCGTGCCCCCCCCCCCCCCCGATTTGGTTGATGACACCCCACTTACTCTCTCGTATATTTACGCAGTTTAACGTATAGGCTAACAACTGTTATTCTATTTCAGTTTATTTCTAAGATATGCTATCACTTTCCAGAATGCTATATACAACGGTCTGCTAATATCCAGGTACCTATTTACTGCGGATTGAACAAGGGCGTCTAGTGAGTGGAGAATCATGCAGGATTGATCCCGGGTTCTCAGGTGTTGATGGTTTTCACCCGTGAGCTACCGTTTTGAATTATTGGAAACCTTGAATGCTCTCTAGTTTGAAGCATGTTTTTCTTGGATAGTATGTATTTAAAATTAGATTAGAAATTTAGAACACATGATTTCACTCATATTTAGAATGAAAATGACCACCTCCCCGATCCCATCTCTGTAAGGCACTGTCGTTACACCTGATGACAACCTCGTCCTCGGGATTCTTTCTGCCAGAGATTATCGTACACATCGACTGAGAATGCATTCAGTTCTCATAAACCTTGAATCTCTTAGGTTCCAAATTCCTGCTTAGTGAGTCAGGGTATTAAATTTATGCTTTATCTATCCGTAAGGAGCCACCATGTGATGGGGACTACTGCAGCTGCACGTACGTCTTGGAGGTGGCACTGGGGGAGACGGTGGAGATGGTGTTGGTGGACGAGGGCACCATTGGTGACGAGAATCATCCTTTCCACCTTCACGGCTACAACTTCCACGTTGTTGCCATGGAGCGCCTCGGCAGGTCAGTCACACACACACACACACACACACACACACACACACACACACACACACACACACACACACACACACACACACACACACACACACACACACACGCACACAAACACACACAAACACACACACACACACACATTAGTGACACTACCAACCAGTGCCCACTTCAGTCTGTAACCCCTGCTAGTATCTCTTCTTATTTCCTAATGCTACTTTTTCCACCTCCCACTGGTGTTGCCTCACACTTCTAATACTTCACATTTGTTTTACCCGAGGCAACAATTTTGTCAGGGAAGGACTTTTCATTATGATTATGTTTACAAGCAAGCGATAAACAAATTGGAGGATGTATTCTGGTGTCTTCGGCCTTGACACCATTGTTGTGGATTTAGGAGAAATGATTTCCAGAAGAACTAAATAATTGTTTACGTGCTAGATGAGTTCAAAGATGAAAATATATGATATATTTTCAGTTATATCAAGCTGAATGACTTGAAAAAGGCTAACACATCACTAAGTGTCCCTTCACACTCTGGAAATACGACGCTGGTTCGTGTTTTCATCGAGTGTGTCGTATTTTCTGACCGAGAGCCACACACATTGAGTCATACTGGGCGCTATTGTCTTCATGTCCGCCATGATGGAGATTATCGATTCTCGCTCCTCCTTGATTACCATTATATTCCACACACAGGTGACCTTTTTAGTTCTGCAGAGGCGGCCTCCTGCTTTGCCTTTAATTTAATTCCTTCCATTTTTACTCATCCTTTATAAGGCTTTTTTTTTAAGGAATGCGTTTTAAATACATCCTATTAAGTGTTATTTTATTTTACTTTGGGTTTCATAAATATTATCGATATTAATTACACCTATTGTGATACAAGAATATGTCAGTGACACAGTGACACATTATTCAGCACTGCTGTACCCCGAGGCTTTTATTATGTGTTACCGAATTTCATGAGCACTAATCGTTTCATCTAACTAATTAAAAAAAAAAATATCAGCGAGTCGCGGTTTAACACAAAAAAATGTCTTTAAGAAAAAACTGAAATAAATCTTGAAGATTTTCCTTCGACCGAACAGTTCCAATTCTAAACACTGTCAATTGTTAATGCAAATGCCGCTCATTAATTCAAAGTTAAGTCAGTAATGTTTTCGCAATGCTAATAATTTTATGTGATAAATATGACATGTGCAGCACCTGGGAATCTTTTTTTGTCAAAAATGTTTAGCATGCAATGCAGATTTCTACAGTCTAATACAGACTATTTTAACACGGGAATCAGTAGACGATAAAGCGCATGTGCAGCGTTTGGTTGTTTATGAAATATATGAAATATTACGTGTGTTACAGTGAGACAACAGTTGAAGAGGTCAAGGCTCTGGACGCCGCCGGAGGCATTAGGCGTAAGCTGAAGAACGCCGTTAAGAAGGACACAGTAACCATCCCTGACGGAGGCTACACCATCGTCAGATTCACTGCTGACAACCCTGGTAAGACCACTGCCGTTCCTTCAACGTTATTGCTGCTGGTGTACCAAAGATATGACCACAAAATCTATTGCTGTTGGTGTTTAACAGGTGAGATTACTGTTGATGGTAGTTCATCTCTGGCGAGACCAGTGTTGTTGTTCGTGCTCTGCAGGTGAGACCACTGTTGTTACTGTTGGTGCATTGCACGTGAGACCACCGTTGTTGCTGGTGCTCTGCACGTGAGGCCACTGTTGCTATTGTTAGTGCTCTGCAGGTGAGACCACTGTTGTTGTTGTTGGTGCTCTGCAGGTGAGACCGCTGTTGCTTGTGCTTTGCAGGTGAGACTACTGTTGTTGTTGCTTGTGCTCTGCAGGTGAGACCACTGTTGTTCCTTCGTTATTTTTCTAGTGCTCTGGAAAGCGTGACCAGTGTTTTTACTTCATTGTTGTTGTTCCTTCACTGTTGTTACTCTTTCACTGTTGTTGCTCCTTCACTGTTGTTGCTCCTTCACTTTTGTTACTCTTTCACTGTTGTTGCTCCTTCACTGTTGTTACTCTTTCACTGTTGTTGCTCCTTCACTGTTGTTGCTCCTTCACTGTTGTTACTCTTTCACTGTTGTTGCTCCTTCACTGTTGTTGCTCCTTCACTGTTGTTGCTCCTTCACTGTTGTTGCTCCTTCACTGTTGTTGCTCCTTCACTGTTGTTGCTCCTTCACTGTTGTTACTCTTTCACTGTTGTTGCTCCTTCACTGTTGTTACTCTTTCACTGTTGTTGCTCCTTCACTGTTGTTACTCTTTCACTGTTGTTACTCTTTCACTGTTGTTGCTCCTTCACTGTTGTTACTCTTTCACTGTTGTTGCTCCTTCACTGTTGTTGCTCTTTCACTGTTGTTGCTCCTTCACTATTGTTACTCTTTCACTGTTGTTGCTCCTTCACTGTTGTTGTTCCTTCACTGTTGTTACTCTTTCACTGTTGTTGCTCCTTCACTGTTGTTGCTCCTTCACTGTTGTTGCTCCTTCACTGTTGTTGCTCCTTCACTGTTGTTGTTCCTTCACTGTTGTTGCTCCTTCACTGTTGTTGCTCCTTCACTGTTGTTGCTCCTTCACTGTTGTTGCTCCTTCACTGTTGTTGCTCCTTCACTGTTGTTGTTCCTTCACTGTTGTTACTCTTTCACTGTTGTTGCTCCTTCACTGTTGTTGCTCCTTCACTGTTGTTGCTCCTTCACTGTTGTTGCTCCTTCACTGTTGTTGCTCCTTCACTGTTGTTGCTCCTTCACTGTTGTTGCTCCTTCACTGTTATTGCTCATTCACTGTTGTTACTCTTTCACTGTTGTTGCTCCTTCACTGTTGTTACTCCTTCATTGTTGTTGCTCCTTCACTGTTGTTGCTCCTTCACTGTTGTTGTTCCTTCACTGTTATTGCTCATTCACTGTTGTTACTCTTTCACTGTTGTTGCTCCTTCACTGTTGTTGCTCCTTCACTGTTGTTGCTCCTTCACTGTTGTTGCTCCTTCACTGTTATTGCTCATTCACTGTTGCTACTCTTTCACTGTTGTTGCTACTTCACTGTTGTTACTCTTTCACTGTTGTTGTTCCTTCACTATTGTTGCTCCTTCACTGCTGTTGCTCCTTCACTGTTGTTGCTCCTTCACTGTTGTTACGCTTTCACTGTTGTTGCTCCTGCACTGTTGTTACTCTTTCACTGTTGTTGCTCCTTCACTATTGTTGCTCCTTCACTGTTGTTGCTCCTTCACTATTGTTGCTCCTTCACTGTTGTTGCTCCTTCACTGTTGTTGCTCCTTCACTGTTGTTGCTCCTTCACTGTTGTTACTCTTTCACTGTTGTTGCTCCTTCACTGTTGTTGCTCCTTCACTGTTGTTACTCTTTCACTGTTGTTGCTCCTTCACTGTTGTTGCTCCTTCACTGTTGTTACTCTTTCAATGTTGTTGCTCCTTTACTGTTGTTGCTCCTTCACTGTTGTTACTCTTTCACTGTTGTTGCTCCTTCATTGTTGTTACTCTTTCACTGTTGTTGCTCCTTCACTGTTGTTGTTCCTTCACTGTTGTTACTCTTTCACTGTTGTTGCTCCTTCACTGTTGTTGTTCCTTCACTGTTGTTACTCTTTCACTGTTGTTGCTCCTTCACTGTTGTTGCTCCTTCACTGTTATTACTCCTTCACTGTTGTTGCTCCTTCACTGTTGTTGATCCTTCACTGTTGTTGTTCCTTCACTGTTGTTGATCCTTCACTGTTGTTGCTCCTTCACTGTTGTTGTTCCTTCACTGTTGTTGCTCCTTCACTGTTGTTGCTCCTTCACTGTTGTTGCTCCTTCACTGTTGTTACTCTTTCACTGTTGTTGCTCCTTCACTGTTGTTGCTCCTTCCCTGTTGTTACTCTTTCACTGTTGTTGCTCCTTCACTGTTGTTGCTCCTTCACTGCTTTTACTCTTTCACTATTGTTGCTCCTTTACTGTTGTTGCTCCTTCACTGTTGTTACTCTTTCACTGTTGTTGCTCCTTCAGTGTTGTTACTCTTTCACTGTTGTTGCTCCTTCACTGTTGTTGTTCCTTCACTGTTGTTGCTCCTTCACTGTTACTTTTTCACTGTTGTTGCTCCTTCACTGTTGTTGCTCCTTCACTGTTGTTACTCTTTCACTGTTGTTGCTCCTTCACTGTTGTTGCTCCTTCACTGTTGTTGCTCCTTCACTGTTGTTGCTCCTTCACTGTTGTTGCTCCTTCACTGTTGTTGCTCCTTCACTGTTGTTGCTCCTTCACTGTTGTTGCTCCTTCACTGTTGTTACTCTTTCACTGTTGTTGCTCCTTCACTGTTGTTGCTCCTTCACTGTTGTTACTCTTTCCCTGTTGTTGCTCCTTCACTGTTGTTATTCTTTCACTGTTGTTGCTCCTTCACTGTTGTTGCTCCTTCACTGTTGTTACTCTTTCACTGTTGTTGCTCCATCACTGTCGTTGCTCCTTCACTGTTGTTGCTCCTTCACTGTTGTTGCTCCTTCACTGTTGTTGCTCCTTCACTGTTGTTGCTCCTTCACTGTTGTTGCTCCTTCACTGTTGTTACTCTTTCACTGTTATTGCTCATTCACTGTTGTTGCTCCTTCACTGTTGTTGCTCCTTCACTGTTGTTGCTCCTTCACTGTTGTTACTCCTTCACTGTTGTTGCTCCTTCACTGTTGTTGCTCGTTCACTGTTGTTGCTCGTTCACTGTTATTGCTCGTTCACTGTTGTTGCTCCTTCAGTGTTGTTGCTCCTTCACTGTTGTTGCTCCTTCACTGTTGTTGCTCCTTCACTGTTGTTACTCTTTCACTGTTGTTGCTCCTTCACTGTTGTTGCTCCTTCACTGTTGTTGCTCCTTCACTGTTGTTACTATTTCACTGGTGTTGCTCCTTCACTGTTGTTGCTCCTTCACTGTTGTTGCTCCTTCACTGTTGTTACTCTTTCACTGTTGTTGCTCCTTCACTGTTGTTGTTCCTTCAGTGTTGTTGCTCCTTCACTGTTGTTGCTCCTTCACTGTTGTTGCTCCTTCACTGTTGTTGCTCCTTCACTGTTGTTGCTCCTTCATTGTTGTTCCTTCACTGTTTTTGCTCCTTCACTGTTGTTGCTCCTTCACTGTTGTTGTTCCTTCACTGTTGTTGTTCCTTCACTGTTGTTGCTCCTTCACTGTTGTTGCTCCTTCACTGTTGTTGCTCCTTCACTGTTGTTGTTCCTTCACTGTTTTTGCTCCTTCACTGTTGTTGCTCCTTCACTGTTGTTGTTCCTTCAGTGTTGTTGCTCCTTCACTGTTGTTGCTCCTTCACTGTTGTTGTTCCTTCACTGTTGTTGCTCCTTCACTGTTGTTGCTCCTTCACTGTTGTTGCTCCTTCACTGTTGTTGCTCCTTCACTGTTGTTGTTCCTTCACTGTTGTTGTTCCTTCTCTGTTGTTGCTCCTTCACTGTTGTTGCTCCTTCACTGTTGTTGCTCCTTCACTGTTGTTGTTCCTTCACTGTTTTTGCTCCTTCACTGTTGTTGCTCCTTCACTGTTGTTGTTCCTTCAGTGTTGTTGCTCCTTCACTGTTGTTGCTCCTTCACTGTTGTTGTTCCTTCACTGTTGTTGCTCTTTCACTGTTGTTGCTCCTTCACTGTTGTTGCTCCTTCACTGTTGTTGCTCCTTCACTGTTGTTGTTCCTTCACTGTTGTTGTTCCTTCACTGTTGTTGCTCCTTCACTGTTGTTGCTCCTTCACTGTTGTTGCTCCTTCACTGTTGTTGTTCCTTCACTGTTTTTGCTCCTTCACTGTTGTTGCTCCTTCACTGTTGTTGTTCCTTCACTGTTGTTGCTCCTTCACTGTTGTTGCTCCTTCACTGTTGTTGTTCCTTCACTGTTGTTGCTCCTTCACTGTTGTTGTTCCTTCACTGTTGTTGCTCCTTCACTGTTGTTGCTCCTTCACTGTTGTTGCTCCTTCACTGTTGTTGCTCCTTCACTGTTGTTGCTCCTTCACTGTTGTTGCTCCTTCACTGTTGTTGCTCCTTCACTGTTGTTGCTCCTTCACTGTTGTTGCTCCTTCACTGTTGTTGCTCCTTCACTGTTGTTGCTCCTTCACTGTTGTTGCTCCTTCACTGTTGTTGCTCCTTCACTGTTGTTGCTCCTTCACTGTTGTTGTCTTCACGTTGTTGCTCCTTCACTGTTGTTGCTCCTTCACTGTTGTTGCTCCTTCACTGTTGTTGCTCCTTCACTGTTGTTGCTCCTTCACTGTTGTTGCTACGGTTGGTGGTGCGCTTCATATTTAAGCATTTCGTTAACATAATGCAAATGCATTTTTATGCCAAACATTTATTTATTTATTTCCTCTCTTCTCTCTCTCTCTCTCTTCCTCTAGTCTATTAAATTCCGTAAAACAGATGGAGTGAGAGAGGAGGAAGGAGAGGTGAAGGTGATCTATTCCATCCTAACACAACTATCAAAAGAGGAAGTAGGTAGACTTAACAACAGTGTACGTAAGCTTATATGAGTGTATATCTCAGTCTGTATGCACTGAACGCCTACATTTGCGATTAAATTAACTTAATTTGGTGGTGAACAGGTAACATGTATTCTTAATGGGCCTTGTGTAGTTGATTTACTTTAAATACCTAATAATCCACTCACATGATTATTTTATTTATAAATTATGTAAAAGAAATTGTATCATATAAAACTGTTTACTGAGTTCACTTTGGTGATAATACTGAGGGTTGCTTAGCGAAGAGTTGCATTAATAAACAGAAAGACACCGGAGCTTCAGAATCAGGCAGAGCATAACATCAGTTCCTGCAAAATACACGTATCCAGTGCTGTTCATGGCACTTTGTTTTATTATGCACGACTATTAGGCACCCGATCAAAAAATTGCTGAACGGACAATGATGAGGGCAAGAATTAATCTTACCCAGAGGAAAAGTGTAATTGGTGGTAGATAACTGGGGTTGTAGCCTCCCCTGTTTCTTTCCTACGACAACAAATTTGATCAAAATATCATGACCGAGGAAGCTTACAGAAAATAGAAAAAGAATCTTTAGGAAAGAATCTTATTATTAGAGCCGTTTTCCCTGAACGAATCTTCCTGGACTTCCTACTCATTTCTGCAGCAGTGCAAAGTCCTGAACACGAAAGGCCTAGAACTATCATTCAACTCCTCCTGTGGTGATTTTGCACCCATATGAATATATGTAATGTATATTATGAAAGGTAATTTCTGCACGATGTGGAAGATGAACAAGTAGCTTGACTGTTTCTTTTTTCTTGCAGGTTGGTGGCTGATGCACTGCCACCTTAATTTCCACTCGGAGCTCGGCATGGTCGCCGTGCTGCATGTTGGTCAAACTAGCGACCTGCCTCCTGTCCCTCAAGGTTTTCCAAAGTGTGGTAACTTCGCACCAGATCTGTGAGGTTACCTGTCCTAAAATAAACCACCACCACCTTCCCTTGCATGTCAGAAGAATTGATAGGGAACAGCGTAGTAAAGAAAGCAAATGCCAGACTGAAGTTCCTTTACAGACAAGCACAGTGTCTACCTACTGAGGCTCGCGGGACTCTATGTCTAGCCCTTATACATTGTCATATGGACTACGCTTGCTCTTCATGGTACTCTGCCTTGATAGACTGCAGAGATAGACTGCAAATCACCCAGAACAAAATGGTAAGATTCATTGGAACCAAAGCAATCATAGTACTAGGGGGAGAGAGCACAACTTTTTAGTACCCACAGTCAATTGCCAGGCTTCAAACACCTTTTATTGTACAGGAATATAGGAATGGAGCAGACTGCCTGCACATGTCAAAGCCAGTCATAGCATGAACCAGTTCTAATGAATGTAGCGACAAAAAAGGAGGAGAATGATTTTTTATTTTTTTTTAGCTAACACACATTACCTTATTCCTAGAATATATTTTTAGAGTATAATAATAAGATATTATCTCCTTTATAGTATAATAATAAGGTATTAAAAGGACCCCAATGGAAATAATGCTGCTGTGTACGATAATATATGTAACCGTATTGTGTATACCTAAATAAACTTACATTCTTTCATGCCAGCAAATGTATTCTCTTATCTCTGGAGGCTCTTGCATTTCCATATCATCCTGAAGGCCCTCATTATTTCTAGTTTGTAGTGATGGATAAGACATGGGCAACACTAGGCAATATACCTTATTTTTGCACATGTGTCTTATTCATAAAGTTGTCGGTATTTTGTGCCATCAGTAATATAAACTTTGTAATATTTATATCCAATGGTTTACTGATTCTTAGTTTTTGCTAGCGCGTCGGTCGGGAGTTTAATGACTCTCTGATCGCGGGTTCTATCCCCGCCCGTGGTATGGTTTTTTCATGAGCCCTTATTGTGCCCCCTGAATGGGGCCCAATGTTTATAGTGTATATTTATGTATATTTGATGTATATTATCTTTCATGTAATTATATATTGCTGATATTTTTATTAATAACTAAAATAAAAATATCTTGCTTTATACTGTTATTTGACTTAGCTATGTCATTAGGTAGGATGTAACATTTACACTTCACCGTGCTCACTGTTTGGGAGTTGTGGTTGGCTGTCCGCCATCGCAAACTGCCTTTCTAACTATCGCTCGCTTGTTTTGTGTCAGGCTGCACCTCGCACTATTGCTGAGTAGCACGGGCAAGTCACGTGATCTCACCTGATTTGAGGCCTGTAGTCGAGAAATCTTTCTCTCTCCATAGCTGGTCATCGCTCGACCACTACCTCTCTCTCTCCATTTATCCACGGAACTCTCTCGTCTTTGGCTGTTTGTTCGTTATTTAGACTTGGTAGAGTAAGATTTCGTTGGTGAGCCGAAACACACTTCGTGTATCTCTGTGTAACTCTGTTCATAGAGCATAGTTCAGAATCATTAATTTTTGACGTTATACTGAGGTGTGTCGTACGGACACTCTAAGTCTACTCAGGTCCCAAGCTAAAGCTTCTGACCTAGTTTGTGTGGCATCTACGCACCGTCGTAGTCGGGGATTTGGTTATGCTGAACTTAGATTCAGTATTAAGGGTGTTTTACGACTTTCATGGAGGATCTGCTGATGATTCCCAATTAGGGTCGTTATTTTGTCTCCTTGTTCCTGACTACTGCTGCTTGTTACGTTATTACTGTTGGCGAATGATTCGTCATATTGTTCAAGCAAGCGGTGTTAATAGCCTAGTTGGTCAAGAAGATAGATTATTTGAGGACCTTTAGTCAGTCACTGTTTATGTCTAACTCAAGTCGAATCTTACTGAGACATAACGAGCACTTTGAGCACACACGCACACATTTACACACACACTTGTATATACTAGTAATTTTATAATTGATGATAACGTACCAGACGGTACTTAAGAGTCGTACTGTTACGAAATGTGCCTTCAGCACTTTACTACTATATGTACAATTTAACTTTACACTACAAGAGAAGTGTAGGATCTTACATCCTAAATTATATCAAATTCCTTTACTTTCATTTTGTCCATCTAGACAACCCTGTTAATAAACTTCTCAATTTTTATTTAGTTAGTATCCTATCAGTTGCAATCCTAAGGTACTATGAAAATTTATCATAATTTTAAAGGATAACTGGACCAGAATACTTTCTGACTTGTTACAAAAACCAGAAACAGGCTGAATGCTAGAGGGGAAGACCTTCTAGTGTTCCCTGGAGATGTCTATACTTTATAGATATCGCATTTTTGTAACAGACGTTTATTCACTCTAAGGATCACCTTTCGCACAATGACCAGTGAACCAGTTATATACACAAATAACTCGCACATAGGCGACTGAGACTTATAACGTCGTTTCGGTTCGACAAAGACTATTAAATAATTACACACAAGCGCGAATGGAAGGGAGCCGGAATATGTACGAGAGGAGAGTGGGGACGAAAATAGGAAATACTATAAAGTGGTAGCAGTAGTGGTAGTAGTGTAAGTGGACCGATGAAGCCACTGTGTGGCGAAAGTACGATAAAACACCTAAATTTCTGGGAACGGTTGAAGTCCTTTGGTTTGTATTCCCTGGAACGCAGGAGAGAAAGATACACTTTAGTACTAAATTTGCACACGAAAATCACTCTCTACGAAAGCTAAAGACTCGACAGCATTTCCCCAATGAAAAGCAGGGGTGCCACAAGTACACTAAGAGACAACATAATAAGTGTCAGGGGCCCAAGGCTGTTCGGCTGCCTCCCAGCATACATAAGGGGCATTACCAATAGACCCCTGGCTGTCTTCAAGAAAGGGCTTTGGTTTGTACGTCGGTTTAAGTGCGACCAGCAGTAGCAGCCTGGTTGATCAGGCCCGGATTCACCACGAGATCTGGTCATAGACCGGGCCGCGGGGGCGTTGATACCCGAAACGCTTTCCAGGTATACTAAAGGTATATAATTTGACTTAAGTCATTTAGCTTTTTTTTATCTAAAACTTATATATAAACATGGGTCATACAGAAACTTTAAACCAACGAACACGTTTGATACAAATAACAAAAAAGGCACAATACCGTGACTGGAACGATACACAAATAACCCGCAACGTCGTCGTAAGCTTCTCTCTTTTATGTGCGGGTTATTTGTGTAACGTTTGATATAGAATCCGAGAAATGTTTTTGGGTCTGCCCAAACGAGATATACCTGTGGGAGAAAATTACGTCTATATTAAAAAACAAGAACACAAATAAAATATCCTTCTTGAAAGACATATCAGCCTGGTATGACAGCTGGGAAAATAAAATGGGTGCTAGTGTTGTCCTGGAGGGTAGTGCACCAAATGGAGGTAGTGGCCCTGATGATACAACAGGTAAAGACAACGAAATACAATTTATAGTGGTACATAGTAGCAATACTACTGGAGATGAAACAAAAGTGGATAATGCCTGACACATTACCAGTAAAAACGGGTGGAAGCACTGATGTCCATAGAGGGGCGGTAGGTAGTGGGGAAACAGAAAAAAATGCACCCACAAAAAAATCCTAGCAAACAAAATTCCAATTTATGCAAATTCTATGCCTTGGGTATCGGCAGGCATGATATGTCTGGTATAACAGGCGGGATATGCACGTTTGACTATCCCTAAAAGTACCGCACCCACATGATAACAGGAGGGTGGAACTCCCGTTCCTGTAACTTATTTCACCCCGATATGTGTCACACGTCAGTCCATGAAAGAAAATGCTACAACGTATGTTGCCAGGCACATCATCTAAAGGGGGACAAGAAGACATAGACCAGCCGGACCAGGGCAAATAATAGAGGGGAGCCATAACCTTTCCAGAGAAGGTTTTTTAGTGCCAGGAAGAAAAAAAAATTGCAAAAAATGGCAGAAATCTTACACCAATTGAAAACACTTCTGGAGAAGAGGCACAGCCATTGACTTCCACTCCAGAACAACAGATATTAATGCCAGCAAATAAAATCCCCCTAAATTCCATCAATATAATGACATTTATCTTTGCAAACATACAAGTGATACAGGGTCTAAAGCCATAAACAAACAAAATTGCATTTGACTCACAGAGTCAAATGCAATGTTTGCAGCTTTCACAGAGACTCAGAGTCCCACATAAAGGATCATTTTGACAACGAAATATGGATCCCAGGTTATAACCTATTCAGATGCGACAGACTAAACAGGCAACAAAGGGGAGGAGGGGAGGGGTTGGCTTGTACGTCACAGAGTCGTTCATTTGCTCAGAACTACTAAACACCTCAAATGATGTAGTTGAAGTTTTGGCGGTAAAGATTGAAAACCAAAACCTTGTCATTGTGGTTGTATAAAAGCATCCGGATGCAATTTCCCAGCAATTTCAAGAACAGCTTTTGAAAATTGACAACTGTCTGGAAAATCTCCCAACTCCTGCCCCAGACATCTTGCTACTTGGAGATTTCAACTTGAGACACATAAAATGGAGGAGTGTAGCAAATAATATTTTAGCAGAGATCACCCGAAGAGGCAGCTCAGATGAAAACTCACACACACACGAGGTATTAAATCTCTGCACCAAATTCACTTTATACCAGCAAATATTAGAGCCAACAAGACTAGAAAATACGCTGGACCTCATCTTCACTAACAACGACGATCTGAAACTTAATATAACCGTATAAAAGACAATTCACTCTGATCACAACATAATAGAGGTACAGACATGTATGCACAGGGCTCCTGACCAGCAAAATGTGATCAGTCATGAGGGTGTTTTCACAAAATTCATCTTCAATAACAAAAGCATACAATTTGAATAAGTCAACCATGTCCTAAATGAAACAAGCTGGGAAGATATCCTAAACAACACGGATCTGAACCTTTGCCTAGAAAAAAAAATAACTCTGTGGCACTTGAGGTCTGCTCAAGGCACATTCCATTAAGAAAAAGAAAGAGAAGATGTAAACTAGAAAGGGACGTTCCCTTTACAGGCGAAGGCAAAGAATCACAGAGCTGCTGAGTGGGGCCAATATATGAAATACGAAGGGAGGCACTGGTCAGAGAAATAGTAAATATCGAACTTAAGCTTAAGGAATCTTACATGAGACAAGAATCGCAGGAAGGACTAAAAGCCACTAAGAAAATTGGAAAAAAAATACTTCTTCTCTTATGCCACATCAAAGGGTAAAACAGTATCCAGTATTGGGCCTCTGCTTAGGCGAGATAGGACCTACACAGATGACAGCAAAGAAATGAGTGAGAAACTAAAGTCTCAATACAACACAGTAGTCATCCAACACTCGCTAAAAGCAACAGACTTAGCCTAACTCTATAAAGGTGGCAAAAGCTATTGCAAAGAACTACAAACTGATAGCACTAACATCCCATATCATAAAAATCTTTGAAAGGGTTCTAAGAAGCAAGATATCCAACCACCTAGATACCCATCAATTACACAACCCAGGGCAACATGGGTTTAGAGCAGGTAGCTCCTGCCTGTTCCAGCTACTGGACCACTATGACAAGGTCCTGGATGCTATAGAGGATAAACAAAATGCAGATGTAGTATACACAGACTTTGCAAAAGCCTTCGACAAGTGCGACAACGGTGTAACAGCGCACAAAATGTGTGATAAAGGAATAACAGGAAAAGTCGGTCGATGGACCCCATGGCCTGGCTGGCAAGGCTCTTGCTTCACACACGGAGGGCCCGAGTTCGATTCCCGGCGGGGAAGAAACATTTCGACGTGTTTACTTACACTGTCCTGTTCACCTAGCAGCAAGTAGGTACCTAGGGGTTAGTCGACTGGTAAGGGTCGCATCCTGGGGGACATGATTGAGGACCGCAATGAAAATAAAATAGACAGTCCTCGATGACAAACTGCCTTTTTTAGGTTATCCTGGGTGGCTAACCCTCCGAGGTTAAAAATCCGAACGAAATCTTATCTTACCTTATCTTCCTAACTCTAGGGAACTGGATCTGTGCTCCAGTTCCTTGAATTAAGCCTGAATACCTTCCATCCCCCACCTCCACATATGCTGTATAATCCTACGGGTTTAGAGGTCCCCCATGATCATAATAACATAACTTCACAACAAACAGAACACAAAGAGTCATCATATGACTAAGACCCGCGTCAGGAAACACTTGTCCTGTTTCCTGACAAGTCTTACCTAACCTAGATATAAACCTCATTAAGTAAATATTTAATCATTAACGAGATGTAATACGCATTTAAGAAACCGTAATAACATTTGTCTTGGGTTGAAACCCCACCCGTTCCGTGGGTTATAAGAATCGTTGATTAACCTGAAAAAGCTGAAAGTCTAGACAGTAAAATGTGATTACACAGTTTTGAGGGGGGTCGATGGAAGCTGGACCTGAATACTTCGTGTCTGCTTCTTTTGGACATATCTTACCTACCTACGCAACATCTGATGTAATATTTACAAACTTTGCATATGAAAGATATTTTAACAGGAGCTACTAATAGATAATAAGTATTTATTTATTCATTTTCTAGAAATATTCCAGCCTCGAATATTTCTGGCTAACAGGGATAAATAAACATAAATATTTAATAAGATATAATATGAGAATCTAGTTCACATGGAGCAGTCACATATACACTATAACACCTACATAGAAATATACACTATAACACCTACATAGAAATATACACTATAACACCTACATAGAAATATAAACTTTAACACCTCATATATAGACCTGAGCTTGCTATCACCTGCAGCTCACAAGATTGCCATCCCCACGAGCCCCTTTGGGGAGGGGCAGATGGCAGACCAGAGGTCTAGCTTCTTCCTGCGAGCCCCGTGAGGGCGGGGAATGTGGCTAGTTCTGGGGACACTTGGTCCCAAAGATGAGGGGGTACTTGTATCTCCTCCCATGGGAGACTTAGGTCCCGAGATACTCACCAGATAGGGAGCCAATGACCCGGCCTTGGAAAAGACCAGGGCCGGGAGAATACCGGCGAATAAAAAAAAAAACACCTCAAAAAATGCAACATTCTTGTACAAATCAACAAAAATACCCGATTTAAAAACCCATAAAAATACCAGCCTTTTACAAACTTTCTCTTATCCCCAGCCACCTACAAATTAATGAAACCCACCACACACACTCATTTCCTACCAGTCAACAACTGAAACATATCTAGCCGTCCAACTTCATCTCTAACACAAGCAATACATAATCAAGCAACACTTCTCCCTCTCCCTCTTCCGCCACGTTGTCTAGACTCTAGGGAAACACACAGGTGGTATTAATCTCAATGTCTCAGTTACATACTAACAGTTGGTAGCTCTCTCATCTGCGTCAGACACCATCCCAAGCATCACGACAGTTATTTATACCTCACTACATCATACTGGCGATACATTGCAACTATGGATGATTTGTTTCATTCACCAAGCAATAGAAGGATTTTAATCATAATCACTTTAAACAATCATTTAACACATTTAAAATATAAGCATTTTAAACGTTTTAAACAATCATTTTAAATATGTTAAACATTTTTAAAGATAATCATTTAAACGCTTTAAACAATAATTTAAAAAAAAAAAATTAAGCATAAGCAGTTTCTGACATCATTATCAACTTGACATCATCACTGCCGTATCAACTTGTTATTTTTTTTATTATTATTATCACACTGGCCGATTCCCACCAAGGCAGGGTGGCCCGAAAAAGAAAAACTTTCACCATCGTTCACTCCATCACTGTCTTGCCAGAAGGGTGCTTTACACTACAGTTTTTAAACTGCAATATTAACACCCCTCCTTCAGAGTGCAGGCACTGTACTTCCCATCTCCAGGACTCAAGTCCGGCCTGCCGGTTTCCCTGAACCCCTTCATAAATGTTACTTTGCTCACACTCCAACAGCACGTCAAGTATTAAAAACCATTTGTCTCCATTCACTCCTATCAAACACGCTCACGCATGCCTGCTGGAAGTCCAAGCCCCTCGCACACAAAACCTCCTTTACCCTCTCCCTCCAACCTTTCCTAGGCCGACCCCTACCCCGCCTTCCTTCCACTACAGACTGATACACTCTTGAAGTCATTCTGTTTCGCTCCATTCTCTCCACATGTCCGAACCACCTCAACAACCCTTCCTCAGCCCTCTGGACAACAGTTTTGGTAATCCCGCACCTCCTCCTAACTTCCAAACTACGAATTCTCTGCATTATATTCACACCACACATTGCCCTCAGACATGACATCTCCACTGCCTCCAGCCTTCTCCTCGCTGCAACATTCATCACCCACGCTTCACACCCATATAAGAGCGTTGGTAAAACTATACTCTCATACATTCCCCTCTTTGCCTCCAAGGACAAAGTTCTTTGTCTCCACAGACTCCTAAGTGCACCGCTCACCCTTTTCCCCTCATCAATTCTATGATTCACCTCATCTTTCATAGACCCATCCGCTGACACGTCCACTCCCAAATATCTGAATACATTCACCTCCTCCATACTCTCTCCCTCCAATCTGATATCCAATCTTTCATCACCTAATCTTTTTGTTATCCTCATAACCTTACTCTTTCCTGTATTCACTTTTAATTTTCTTCTTTTGCATACCCTACCAAATTCATCCACCAACCTCTGCAACTTCTTTGCAACTTCACTAATGTGATAGTGACGAATTCACTATCACATTACACAAATTTTTCCCACAAAATTAGCAAAATTATTCAGTGAATTTTTTCATTTCATAAACAATATCCATAATTCGTTTCAAATCATTGACCTAACGTAGATCACAACAAATTTAGATGACAATGGAAATATTCCCATCCTTAACGCCGAGTGATATGTACAAGCGTAATAACAGTGACTTTATTCCTCTAAAATTCTTAGACACATTTCATACCTGCCGTCTGTTAAGAGTTATGACGAGATATAACCAGTCGTTAGTTGAAGGCTGACCGATACATATTAATAAGCATGTTTACTTCAATTCTTGAAGTATATAATTCATATCCTCTTATCCCCTCACACACACGTATACCAGAGAGTCAAAGAGAAAGGGTGCACCAGTGGGTACTGAACATCATACACCTAGAAGGAGAAGAGATGAAAAACTTTTGGCTGAGTTAAATACATCAAAGACAATGGGACCCGAAAAAGTACCACGACGAATTCTATGAGGAAGCACAAGCAGTATCTGAATCACTAGCTGAAATATACAAGACAGTGGACATAGTACAATTGAAAGTAATTTTGAAGACAACGAATGTAGTACTAATATTTAAGAAATGAGACATTCAGGAAGTGTTAAACTACAGACCAGTATCATCGGCATGCATACTTACAGGGTATTGGAGAAGATAATCAGGAGAGCGCTGGAGGAATTTCTTAAGCAAGAATCATCATAATTCTGCTGGAGTTCTTTGACGGGGTAACAGAAGTTAAGCTTGAGAGTCATGAATGGGTGACATATTCTTGGACCGCAAGAAGATATTTGATAATGCACTTCACGAGAAACTGAAAAAAAACTTAAGAAACAGGCCAAAATATCAGAAAATGTATTACAGTTAATTAAAGAATATTTTATGAGGCGAGAAATGATGTGACAATAGGCAAGTATACAAGTGTGATTCAGCAAGTATCAGTATTTGGACCGATACTGTTTCTAGTATGTGTGAATGACATCAAATGAGATGGAATCAGCTATATCCTCCCTATTAGTAAGCAATTTTAAAATAATGAGAATAAAAATTGATGAGAACGAGGAAAGGCTACGAATGAACCTGGATAAGCTGCAGGACTGGTCAAACTGACTAGAGGAATTCAACCCTAACAAAAGCAAGGTAATGAAAATTAGTGAAGGGGTCACTTAAGGAGAAAGATCTAGGGGTAAGTATGGTGCCGAACATATCGTCTGAGGAGCACATTCATAGAAATCCACTACAGCGAATGCTAGTTCGGCGAATCTAAGAATTTCAACAAAGTCGTCCCCGAACTCTTTAAAATAAAGATATCAGGCCTATCTTCAAGTGTGCAGTGTAAGCATGGAACATACACCCGAGAAAACTATCAAGAAACTGGATAAAAAACAGAGGTTTACGAAAACTATTCTAAAATACATTTGTTTCTAGCCAGAAGAGTTGTCACTCAAGATGGGAGAGCAAAGACGCACAGTAAAAAGGACTTTGAAACCACGTTTCTTGTGCATAAGAAAGTACTGACACATACGCTGCTGTGTGTCCTGGATACTGCACGCGAAGGTAAACGAAGCACCACCACGTAACGTTAAGGAAAGTTTTTTTTTCTTTACGTGATGCTTAAAATAACGTGGACTTCGCTCAGTCAAGTTAAACTATTAGAAATGGCCATATTTTGAATAGGCGATCCTATGTCACTGCCTCATTTTTAAACTAGGAGGGGGATTTTAGAGTTTAGACAAACTAACGGATTGGAACTGGAATGTTGTGTAGATATTAACAATGTGGAGTAAATGATATTATATGTATGTGGCACTTTTTTTTATTCAAAAAGGTGAGCCCACACTGTGAGTACCTTTATTTTCTACAACGTTATTTTCCAACAGGAGATATCTTATCCTAACCCCTCTCTGCTTTGTATTGGACTGAAGAAGCCATTGTGTGGCGAAACGTTTCCTTAATAAAGATTCCCATATGTTGCATAAGTGTCTCGATCATCAACTTGTCGGTTTTCAAACCATTTATCACGCAGGAGATATCTTTATTACTCATTATGTTTCTCTGCCACACTGTGGGGTTTATCAATTGGAATACCTAATTATCAATGCAGTGAACTGACTGTTTCCCAGGGACGTGATAAGACTGTCTTGACGGCGGACTGGCAAGTGTATATATACCTGCCGAACTGATGGCTGACAGCCAGACGGAACCTCTGTGTCAGTGTACGCAAGATTCCACTGGCACCTCTGTCACAGCTTATTTTCTTTTACCTATTATCTTATTGAATTAGCTATCTAAAATACGTTAATAGGGCATAATTAATTATCTTTCAACTGAAATCTATTGTGCTGAAGCGACCAAGAAGTTTTCCAAGAAAGTCATGAAGATCGTAGTTTCTGTTATCGGTGTGGTCCTGGTGGCCGCCCTTACCCGTGAGTATTGCAGTACGCAGAATTAATGAATCAGAATCAAATATACATTTACAAACATCAAATATGAATTTAAATTTCTGGGCTGAATCTGTCTTTGGTTTATATTAGGAAACATTATATTTCTTGATTAATAAAATATCCCACTGTACATATGAGTTACTAACTAAACTTTAAACTGAATGAAAATTGTGTATGTGAATATTTGAGTTGGATGGAAGTTTTATAGAAGGACTTTCATTAAACTTGTTACATTTAGCTTGTATACAGTGAGTAAAAATATCTTGACTGCTGATATTAACTTGGCTCGACATTGTTGTGTTCATAAATCCAAAATGTTATTACCAGAAAATACATCTTATGTCATTTCATTTCCATCAACTTATAGCTTAAAATGCCCTATTTATGCTTAAATATATTACTGAAACCTCCATTATGAGGCTTCATAAATTCATCTGGTTAATTATATTTGCAAACTTCTATGTTTTTATTTATTATTATCACACTGGCCGATTCCCACCAAGGCAGGGTGGCCAGAAAAAGAAAAACTTTCACCATCATTCACTCCATCACTGTCTTGCCAGAAGGGTGCTTTACACTACAGTTTTTAAACTGCAACATTAACACCCCTCCTTCAGAGTGCAGGCACTGTACTTCCCATCTCCAGGACTCAAGTCCGGCCTGCCGGTTTCCCTGAATCCCTTCATAAATGTTACTTTGCTCACACTCCAACAGCACGTCAAGTATTAAAAACCATTTGTCTCCATTCACTCCTATCAAACACGCTCACGCATGCCTGCTGGAAGTCCAAGCCCCTCGCACACAAAACCTCCTTTACCCCCTCCCTCCAACCTTTCCTAGGCCGACCCCTACCCCGCCTTCCTTCCACTACAGACTGATACACTCTTGAAGTCATTCTGTTTCGCTCCATTCTCTCCACATGTCCGAACCACCTCAACAACCCTTCCTCAGCCCTCTGGACAACAGTTTTGGTAATCCCGCACCTCCTCCTAACTTCCAAACTACGAATTCTCTGCATTATATTCACACCACACATTGCTCTCAGACATGACATCTCCACTGCCTCCAGCCTTCTCCTCGCTGCAACATTCATCACCCATGCTTCACACCCATATAAGAGCGTTGGTAAAACTATACTCTCATGGACAAAGTTCTTTGTCTCCACAGACTCCTAAGTGCACCACTCACTCTTTTTCCCTCATCAATTCTATGATTCACGTCATCTTTCATAGACCCATCCGCTGACACGTCCACTCACAAATATCTGAATACGTTCACCTCCTCCATACTCTCTCCCTCCAATCTGATATCCAATCTTTCATAACCTAATCTTCTATGTATTTTCTACAATTTTTACAACGATTGTTTAGCAAAGTATACTATGTTTTGAGATAATGTTTTTATGAGTTAAGTCCGTAAGACTTATGAAGAATCAATAAAACAATATAGTTGACAATTTGTAAGAAGTATCTATCATAACATATATCAATTTTATGTGGAATAAATAATAAAAAGTGTTTCTGTGAAATAAGTAAAAAAAAAAAATTTCTGTATATGATTTAACAACAATTTTGAGCATTGCTCATGTATTTTTTTTTACATCATATTCTTCCGAAATTAATTTGTCCTCTCCGACATAATAAACAGAACACTGAAAATGTTTGTTAATGATTATTATAAATTTCATTAAAACTCCATGTTATGCAGGCTACTGATTTGCTGTGATGAATTTATGTGTAGTTTGGGAATATAAAATAAGGTCCACTAACTTCATAACACTCCTTGATAATTGTAAACAGTGTTTGCAGATGCCGCTCACGAGTGTGAGAGGACCTGTGAGGCTGGGGACACCCGTACTTGTTATTACACCTTCAATCTTCAGGAGTACCACACAATGAGTCGTGCTTGCTTCAACTGCCCGTTTAACACGACTGACTGCTCCCGTCCTGAATGTATAGCCGGTGATGGTGTAGCCAGGCCTCTTATTACGATCAACCGCCAGCTCCCGGGACCAAGCATAAACGTGAGCTCCACGCAGATACCACAGAAACAATTTATGACAGTGTTCAAACATTCTAAACGGATCTTATCGGATTTTTGCTATTCATTCTCTCAGTAGCATTTAATTACCTCCCATAAGGTGCCCTGTGGCCTACTGGCATAAGCTCATGCTTCACACGGTGAGGGTCTGGGTTCGATTCCTGGCAAAGGGACAGAAACATTAGGCGTGTTTCCTTACACCGGTTGTCCATGTTCACCCATCAGTAATAATGGGTACCTGGGTGTTAGATGACTGGTGTGGTTCGCGTCCAGGGACAAAATTGACCTGATTTGACCGAAATACTCTGCATAATAAGCGACTTTCTATATAGTAGTATGTTATTGATGTCAGCTAGGACTGTATACCTTGTACATGTACTTGTAAAAATGAAAATATTACATTATGTTATTATTATGGGAGGCCCGGAGAACCAAACCACCTGCTTCCCAGACCAAGACTATGTGCCGCTCTCCAGACTCAGTCGTTTCCTCAGTCCCACTTGTGTTTACCTCTTCATGGGGAGTTCCTTGACGCCTGTGAGGGGATCCTGATCCAAGGAATTTGACCCGGCCTCCTCTTACCTGGATCGAACCTGATTACCTCCCATCCCTCAGATGGGAGGTAATCAGATAGTTAGGGAGGCTCCAGTATCTTGGATGACAACCCCTTCAGCGCCATTAAAATTCCACGAACGGGGAAGAGAGTGGGTGGTGCACTGAGGCATCTGTGAAAGACAAAGAACTTTATCCATGAAGGCAAAAAAAAAAATAATATGCGAGTACATGATTGTATCAACACTATTAAATAGGTGCAAAGCAATGGTTTTAAACGTTGCAGCGTGCAACAGTTGGGTATCTGAAACGTTTGGCCTGCACAGTAGGCTTCTTAAGTCAGATACAAAGGCAGCAGCAGAGATGAAATAAAGATGATGTAATCAGTCCATCAACCTTGGCGAAAAACTATTTGAGGTGGTCAGTCCCTCAGCCTGGAGACGAGTTCAGCTCCATGATCCGGAACGATATGAAGCTGAAGCATGAGAACGGAGTCTTAAATACTGTCGAAGGTGAGGTGGAAGATCTTGAAGACGTTGTAAATGACGAGATCCACTAGTGGAATCGAACCCTTCTCACTCCCAACTAGTAGATACGCAGTGAAGGATGAAAGATATCCTCTGTACCAAGATACCGTGTTTCTGCAGTGTCTGACAGTACTTTCTTCGAGATCTTCCATCTCACCTTCGACAGTATTTAAGACTCCATTCTCATGTTTCCGCTTCATGTCGTTCCAGATCATGGAGATGATAGGCTGAGGGACTGACCACGCTAAATACTTTTTCTTCAAGGTTGATGGACTAATGACATCATCTTAATTTCATCTCCACTGTTTCTTTGGTGTTTGACTGAAGAAGTCTACTGTGTAGGCGGAACGTTTCATCAATAAAGACATCCAACTGCTGCACATACGTTTTAATTTTCAACTTGTCGGTCTTTCATACTATTTCCAACAAAACTGTAAGTTATTTTTCTCAAATTTCAGTAGTTAATGAAGTAACAGATCAATTTGGATTCGAGTCCTCCATCTGGGATTACCAGCCCGTCATCTTAGTCCACTGGAGCACAGTTTCACAAAGTTCTCTTCACTATAATCCTGGGTAGGTTAGTGGTGGCCACTAACTGGGACTAGCTGGCTACTGCAAATAATAGTTTTAGTCACAGGCTGCTTGTTGGGTCAGAGTTCCTCATACAAGTTTGTGATCAGGTCCCGGTCTGAGGCCATTATCTACGTGCCACGAATTCTGGTTAGGTAAACCTTACGACCCTCTGTGGTTTAGTGGTTCCGATATATTACACATGTTATATTAGCATTATAACAGCTGTTCCTTCCTGGTCAGGTGTGCGAGGGAGACCGGGTGGTGGTGGATGTGTACAACTGGATGCTGTCGGACACTGAGACCATCCACTTTCACGGGCACCACATGAAAGATTTTCAATACTATGATGGTGTCCCCTTTGTCACTCAGTGCCCCATCTTAGGCGGCTCCTTCCGCTATAACTTCGTGACTACAAACAGTGGCACTCTCTGGTGGCACTCTCACTCGGGTATGTTGATAACCAACCACTAGAGGGTATTGTGGTGAATCTTGTGTGTTATTTTATATAATTAAAAAAAAAAAAAACTCACCCTTGATCAAAAGTGAACAGTTAAACACTATATTATCATCGTAAATTCTGAAAATGTATAAAAGTTTGTACAGTATACGGAGAGGTGTGTATTTCTCGATGTATATACGAGTATATTCAATCGCTATATTGATGTATGAATTATTCTTCAGTGGTGAAATCCCCTCACATAGACGATAGATTTAAAAAAAAATATGTTTAATACATAATGATAGAGCACATCACCTCCAACTCTCATTCCTCACGAATATTAAATGTTTCGCATAGTTAGTAATTTGTTTTATTTTCTAGGACCAGCTCTTTAGTTAGTAACATAATTGACAATGAGTTATTTCTTGTAAGTCACCCAAAATAATTTCCGTGTTAGAGTAAATTTCCAGTGACTCGTCTCACAACGTTAATCTCACCATATGTGCACACCTCATATATATCATTAATTTTGATACGTCTGCCTTTTTAGGTTGTGGATA